TTTTGGTCCTATCCACGGGTTCACAACAAAACTCACTAACCCAGGGCACAAAATACACTAGTTAAATACAAAATCATACAAGTAGTGCACCAATCATGATAATTAATCCTAGTTGGGAAAAGGCATTAATAAATACACATGTAAATAGCAAAGAGAGGCATATAGAGGATTTACTTCATCAATCCTAAGCTTCAGTATGTTTTTCCCAACTCGAATTCGATGAGCTAGGTCCTAAAAATATTGAGAATTGAGAGGTAAATACAATCACTCAGTAATCAAGTTTCACTTAACTCTTACAGTTACATATTAATTGTAAATAAATACAATTAGGCATATAAACTCATATATTACATAGCATTAGGCCATGGTTCACAAAACTAACAACCATATAATCGAGCTTACCACAAAACACTATATCATGTTATTTTCAAAAATGTAACTCAAGGTCGTAAAAATAACAATCATGCACCCTTAACATGTGCCGAACCACAAAACTAACAATCATGTGACTGGACTTATATGTATGATCATGTGCCAACCTTATATTGTCCTGTTACCTCTGACATGAAACCAGTGGTTACCACGTGGCTACGTCCTTTACGGACTAACCCAACCTTTCACTTGTGAGGAGCTACCGGGCCAGGGTTTACTCACTCACTTATGTAATCTGGTTTCCCCTAATACTAATAACCATGGGGTGTTGTACCCCTAATCTAGCCTCCTTATGAACCGATGGAGACTAGTTAGGTTTGAGTCCCTTATAGAACAAGTGAGATAGTCTCAAAACAACCATAGGATAAGGGCTACATCCCGATTCCAACGGTCAGTGCTAAGGCTAGTTCTCGATTTCAACGATCACTGCCAATGCCATGTGAATTTCAACCAATCTACTCTTCTCCTTAGGCAAACTCCCGCCAATGATCATGCTATGTACATTTCACACATAATATGCATTTAACAATCTTTCTCAACATATGAACTCACATAACACAAATGCTCTACACTTTAACACATATTTCATTACAATTCTCTACCACTGTTCATAAATCACAATTAATTTTATAAAACATCAAGGGTGGTAGAAATCAAGATTTTCTTTCAAAAGAAACCATTTCACAATCACGCATTTGCCAACATGCATAATCAAATTAACCATAAATCACATTCCACAACATAATTAACATACAACTATAAAAATTAAGTTTCCTCCGGTTACCTCAAACCTTTAAAAGGTCAAAGGTTTACCCCTCACTATATCAACTTCCCAAAGTTTCAACAAGCTTGAATGATGCCAAAACGAACCTCTATTCATCCAAACCATAAGAACATCATCATTACTTAACTATTGAATATAAAACTCCACAAACACTATTTTAACGAACTCATAATCACTACCCATTCATATCCAATGGGCTCATTAGATTTCATTAATGCACATTATCATTAATAACACTTCAAACCATTATCCAACTACCTAGCTCATAGATACTAATTTTCGGACATTTAATGCTCCCATAGAGCAACCACTTGCAAAATCATCAATGTAGTGTTCTAATACATTAAATAACTCCCATTTAACTTATTTTAATCAATGGAATCAGACCTATACTCCTATAGACCAAAAATCCATCTCCCAACTCAAATCCTACCATAAACAATCATGAATGAGGGAGAGAAAGGAAGAAGAAAGCACCATAATCTTACCTTGGGTGTTTAGGAGCTTTAATCTATCAATAATGGGACCAAATGTCGTGCCCTAGTAGAGCCAAAACCAAGCTCTTCATTTTCCCCCTCTTTCTCTCTTCTATTTTCACGCAGCTTACAAATCAGATATATCTGTTTGGTTGTGCACTGCAGCGCATGCTGTCCTCCGCCGCGACATATAGCACAAAATATAACTCTTCACTTTTTATCCTCTTTCCTTGCCTGGGTGGCCTGCCATCGATCAGGACCCACTTTTAGGGCTAAAGTCATATCGATTATGCCAAGTTAAGCCCCTCTGGCCACATATTTCATTAACTCACTAACTACCCTAATTAAGTTAACAAATTAGGGTTAAAATTTTTCGAATGTTACATATCTCATGTTGGTTAAAAGTTGGTAAGAGAGATCAAATATCCTTCTAGTCTATAGGCATTCTCCTCTGCCTAAGCCTCTTGTCACTCATGCTACTCCTAAAGCTGAGGCTATTCTTCATGCCAGAGTTTTTAATTTTCACTCTGTCGTGGGTGGATGGAATATTGGTAAAATTAATTGTTATCTTCACCCAAAAGTGGTTAATTCCATCCTTTTGGTTCAACCTCCCAACCCTCATGGAGAAAATAATACTCTTGTTTGGAGAGCTTCTTCGAATGGAAACTTCTCCATCAAGTTTGCTTATAAAGCAATTTGAGAATTGTGGGGAGAGGTCTACTATATGGAGATGGCCTATTTATGAAAAGATCAAGTTTTTTCTTTGGAAAGCTACTTGGAATCGTCTTCACACTAAATTTTTCAATTCTGATAAAGCAAATACTTTCATAAGAGTTTGACCCTTTGGTTATAACTCCTGACTCCTCTATTCACATTTTACGTGACTGCACTAAATAAAGGCAAGTATGGAGAAAAGTAGTAAAACATTTAAAACTTAACACTTTCTTCTCCCTTTCCTTACAGGATTGGACTCTCTGAAATACAAAGAATAATGTTGGAGGCCTAAACACCAAAAGGACCTTATGGAATCAACTTTCTGCTCACATATGTTGGAAAGACCGCTGCTCCTATTAATACTCTGACAACCACATTCTTGACAAGGATATCATCTTTTCCAGCACCCAAGACATCATCAATAACAGTTGTCTCTAAAATCAACATAGGAATGTGCATTCAAATCATGACAGATCTCTTGCTAAATAGACCCCACCTAAACTTGGTTAGGTTAGGTTGGATGTTGATGGTTCAGTTTTCACTAATGGAGTTGTTACATGTGGTGGCCTTATCCATGATGACTAAGGTACTTGGATAAAAGGCTTTACCAAATACCTTGGCTATCATCCCATATTGTTGTTGAACTTTTGGCCATTCTTGAGGGTCTTTCTCTTTGTTGGAACTGCAAATTTACCCGCATTAATGTTTACTCTAATTCTACTGAAGCTTTATCACTTATTCAACATCACCACAATCCTAACCACCCCTCCAATAAAGCTATAAGCAAAATCAGAGCCCTTACCATGAGGGATTAGACCATCAACTTCAACTATATGTTTAGAGAATTCAACAATTGTGTAGATTGGTTGGCTTATGAAGCTTTGAATGACAACATCGACATCTCGATCTTTGAAAATCCTCCGCTTGAATGTTGCACTCTTGTGCACCTTGATTTGACCTAACCTTGCACGGTTATTCGTGGCCTTGTATTAAAAAAAATCTATGAAGCGTAGGCCATTCATGGAGAGCCTACTTTGCATGATAATCAGCTCTCTACTTAACATTTAACAAGACTAAAGAAAGTATTTTGAAACATGGGGACTATTTATTATTTATTTTTAATAAGGGACAAGTAATCTTAATATACTGCTAAAATTTTTTCAGTAAGAATATATTAATTATATTTTAAATTTCATAAAATATTTTATATATTAAAAATACATTTTAAAAAAATGTTATATATTTAAAAAGGATGAATTCTCTCTATTTCCTTATTAGAATTGACAAAAATTAAAATATTGTAGTAATACTGAAACAAGGGAGAATTATATCTATGTTTCACAATAGAGATTTAATCACCAAGAGATCCCATAAAATGTTCAAAATACTTTCAAGTCTCAAATTTTGCATATTTAAACTTGACAAAGGGTATTTACAACTAAATAATGGGCATTTATAACTTGTTATTACAAGATATCATTTTTCTTTGCAAGTTGTAAATGCCCATTGTGCATTTATAAATGTCATTTGTCAAGTTGTAAATGTGTAAGATTTAGAACTTGATGCTATGTTTGGATGCATAGGACTTTGGATTTGGATTTAAGCTAAATCTATTGCTTAGATAATTAAAAATATATGGCTTTGGATTTTCAAGTTCCATCTTGATTTCTTTACCATTTGAAACCATTTCTAAACTCTTTTTATTTCAAATCCTACCTTAATTTGTTTGTAATTTGATTAGCCCATCGGTGGCTCTAATTAGGACTAGATTGTTGATGACAATTAAGACCAAACCTTCCCCACTACCGATCAAAACCAAGCCATTGTCAATAACCGAGACTAGGTGCCTGACTTCCATTAGTATTGAACTACTATTGTCAACTAGGATCGAATGGCCAACTTTTATTAAGACTTGACTGTCAGTGACGACCAAGGCTGAATAGTCACATGCGACAGGGATATGATGGCCAAATCCCACCATGACTAGGACTGCCGACTTCAATCAAACTAAGACTGGCAACCTCGATAAGGACTAGGCACTGATAGTCCTGTCTTGGTTGAAGTCAACGATCAATTCTTGATTGGTGCTGACAGTCTAGTCTTGGTTGACATTGGCCATCTAGTCCCAGTCGTCGCCAACGATACAGTACTAGTGAAAAACTATCGTTCAATCTTGATAGGTGCTAGTAATTTGATCTGGGTGGAAGTTAGCCATTCAGGCTGCTAATTTTGACCAGGATTGGATCGCCGACGTTGTCTTAATTACTTTTAAATTCAAACATAAAATTTAAAATTTAAAATTTTACTTAAAATAAAAAAAAGATTCTAATATTATAATTCAAAGTTTTTTATGTAATCCAAATAAATAATTCAGAATTTATAAATTTTAAATTTAAGATTTTAAATCTAAATTCTTGATCTAATTTCACTCATCCAAATACAATTTTAAAGTATTTTTTATATTTGATGAGATTTTTTATTAATTAAATCTTCCTGTGAGTCCTGAATATAATTTTTCAATGAAACACCCGTTGCAACTTGCAAGTATCTTGTGTTAGAAAACATAGCTCTTATAAGGGTGATCGTGACCACCGCAAAGCATAGTGGCAGAACACTGCTAAAGTGGCAACCACAAACACCATCATCTTCCTTAAGTCCAATCATTATGGACCCTATCTTTCACTTTCCTCTCTTCTTCTTCCACCACCGTCGTCAATGGCGAATCTCCCACAAGTTCTTGTTCTCGGTCCTCCTATTAGCTTCCCATTCACCCAATCCCTTTGCTCTCACAAGTTCAGCTTCCTTAACCCCAACACCTCTTCTCTCCCACTGCACCAATTTCTCACGGCCGACAACCGTGACCCTTCATCCGTTCGCGCCATTCTCAGCTGCACCACCGCTCCCGTCACCGCCAAGCTCCTAGACCTTCTTCCTTTCGTCGGCCTCGTCCTCACCACCAGCGTCGGATTGAACCACATTGACTTAGCCGAGTGCCACCGCCGTGGAATCCAGATCGCCGGTGCCGGGAATTTGTACTCGGAGGATGTTGCGGATATGGCGGTAGGTTTGCTTATAGACGTTGGCTCTAAAATTTCGGCGGCCAATCGGCGCATACGGTATCGGGACGGATTCAGGTCGGGTGCGTTCCAATTTCCTACAGGCTTCAAGGTTCTTTCGGATTCCTTTCAACTATTGATAACTTTTTTTTTTTATTATTTTAATTAATTTCATTTTAATTATTTTAATTGGGGGCATGTTCTCACGTGTCAAATAAAGTGTGGATCCACCTTTTTTGGCCAATAACTTTATTAATTTTTAAATTATATATATTTTTTATGCGGGACAAAATAAAGGGTATTTTTATATAACTTAGATATAGATACGATAATTTTTAATATAAATTAAAAAAATATTAATAAAAAACTATTAAAACATATTTATATTAATTAAAAATTAATAGGTTCTGAAATTTTATTACAATTCTTTGATTATTAATTAATATTAATTTTTTATTTAAAATAACTAAATAATTTTTAAAATAAAAAAAAAAAGTAACCTCCTCTATAGCCAACGCTGGACGTTGGATCGTTTTCAAAGACCTTACCAATGAGAAAATCATTGGAGTGCATGTTTGGATAAACACGTAACTGAGCTTTGGATAACCAAAACCTTAGTTGAGGCATCAAAAGCTCATTATAAAAATTTTTATTTTTGTTTGGCTACAAAAATTTTGTAAAGAGCGTTGGGAAAGAAACGGGCGTTAGAATTGAAGCTACAAAATACAGCTTCTGGAGCAACGTAACGTGGGAAAGTGAAGCTGGCATTCATTATTTTGTGGGTTTTTTCTTTCTTGTTCTCACATGATATCTCTTGGCTTCCTCAATCTCTCATCTTATCGTAAAATATTTGCACAAGGCTTCGGGAAAAAATAGAAAGAAAAAGAAATATGAGATTATACGAATATGAGATTATACAAATTTAATCATTAAATCAATTATGATTAAATTAAATGGAATAAAAAACTAATCATAAACAATAATTGTTTTAAGTTAGTAGCAATGTAATTTATTTTTTAAAATCAGTGCAACACATTTATAAATTTAAAAAAATTTAATATGTCATTTATCTTAGATTTTTTAATTCTAACTTTAAAAAAATAAAATTGTATAATTTAATTTTACCTTTCTGAAAAATTTAATTGTATGTTTAATATTCTTTCCTAAAAATATCATATTAGTTACAAAAATATATACAAAAAAATTGATGTCTATTTTTGTCATTATATATCTCAATTGGTTTTTAGAAATTGATGTCTATTTAAATTGATGTCTATTTAAAAAATATGAGATTATACAAATATGAGATTATACAAATTTAATCATTAAATCAATTATGATTAAATTAAATGGAATAAAAAAATAATCATAAACAATAATTGTTTTAAGTTAGTAGCAATGTAATTTATTTTTTAAAATCAGTGCAACACATTTATAAATTTAAAAAAATTTAATATGTCATTTATATTAGATTTTTTTAATTCTAACTTTTAAAAAATAAACTTGTATAATTTAATTTTACCTTTCTGAAAAATTTAATTGTACGTTTAATATTCTTTCCTAAAAATATCATATTAGTTACAAAAATATATACAAAAAAAATTGATGTCTATTTTTGTCATTATATATCTCAACTGGTTTTTGAATCAAATCATCCAAATAAATTTTAGTTCATTTAACTTACTTCTGAAAAAAGTATCCAAACATAAATCACATTAAAGTTGTACATTTCTTCCAACCTCAGTTTGCTAACCTCAATTAATTCTAACCTCAGTTTTAAAATTTTTAATCCAAACACACCCAGAGTCTCTGTTGTCCAGTACTCTTTTAAAATTATCAAGCGCGCGTGTGCGCATATATATATATATATATTTAAAAATAGTATTTATTCTCTTAATTATTATAAAAGTAAATTTATTATACAAATGAAATTAATATATATTTTTAAACTTATCATATGATTTATTTTTATATTACTTTATATAATATTTAAAATTATATTCTATAGAATAATTAAATTAATTATATTCGGTACAAAATTTTGTCTGTTTAATAAATTTTTTTGGGATCATCATTGCTTGTTTGCCATCACCTTTTTTTTGGGGTGGATTTCTCCTCATTATCTTTTTTTTTTTTTCACTATTTCTCCACTACAAATCTGAACTGTTCAAATTAAATTTATATTTTTAAAAATTATTAAATTTAAATTTTTAAATTCAATTTAACGGTTCAAATGTATTGATTTTTTCATTTCTCTCCTTTACAAGGGAGAGAATTTTGTAGTTATTTTGAATCGACTTTAATTTGTTTTCCTATTATATTTAAGAAAATATATCTAAATTTTGCATCTAGTCGCCAGACGCATGCATGGGGGGCTAAGGGCAGCAAGATTAGATAATCACTAAACTTCAATGTGCTTAGAACAGAACAACTTGAAGGGGAATAAAATGTAATTGACCATATATGTTTTAGTAGGGAAAATAATAATAAAAATACTTCCAAAATATTCAAATGACAGTTATGTACTTTAAAATGTAATAATTATTATTTAATCTCTAAGGACTTATTTGGCATTCTGATTTTTGATGAAGATGAAATGATACATTTGTCCTTAGTGGTGACTATTATACATTAGGAAATAAATTTGGTTGAGTTATTGATTAAAATCAAATAGAAAATACTACTTTTTTTGGGAAAATTTTTATATCAATTAAGTGCAATTAAAGTAGTCATTTTCAAAATGAAAATAGTTTTGCAAAAAGGAAGTAATCATAATTTAATCCATTTATATATTATGAATTTGTAGAAAGAAAGTAATTATTTTTTATTTCATTTTAGTTAATAGTCCAATTAAAATAGTCATTTCTCAATGTATAAGAATCATTGATTTTTAGTACTTACACTTGATTGATAAACAAATTTGCAAAATAAAAATAATTATTTTACATTTTATTTTTAATTGGTAATCCAATCAAATTAGTCATTTCTCAAGAATAGTCATTGAAAGAAAATATATTATTTTATTAAAAATCAAAATATCAGACAAATTCCTGGGGATTGAATATATCACATTTTGCATTATTTAATTATCATTTATATATTTTGAATATTTTTTGTCTTCTCCAAAAGGAGTTATTTAAAACTTGATCCCCAAGAATATGGGGGGAGTTACAAGTAAACTCCACCCAAATGGACAAATGACAAAACTATCATAAAATGGAGTAATTACTTTGAGATCCCTAGAGATTTATCTTACATAAATTTTCTTTGTGAAATTACATTTCTCACCTCTTCAAACTAATAAAAAACATAGCATAGTTGTTAAAACCTAAATTGAAGTTATAGTAGAAGTTAGTTTAGGCATGTGATAACAAACATATTTCCTATCTTAGCAACTTCACTTTAGTGATTAACAAAACAACTGGCCATAAGTTTAGTTATACACTTCATATACTTTAATAACTTTACATTTATTATTTTTTAGAGGGTCTTTAGCAAAGTTTTTAAACTCATCAAATTTAAGTAAACTCACGATAAAAATGTAAATTTGAAACATAAACTCGGATTGCAAACTTGTAAGAGTTTACATCTATTAATAAATAACTTTTAAAAATACATGATTAAATAATTAAAATATAAAATATGACCATAATTTAATTTAAATATATTTTAGGTATAAATAATTGAAATTAAATCCATCTACATTTATGAAATATTATACTTAAAATAAAAATTTTAAAATGTGACAACTTATTTTTGATATTTTTTCTCTTTTATTAATATTAATTTTTAGTTTTTGTAGTTTTATTTTTCATTGAATCAAATCCTACCGCTTCCATGAATCAAGTTTCACATAATATATACTTATTTTGTTCAATGAATTTATGAGCAAATTAACATAATTTTATAAGTTAGAAACGTAAAAATGATAAACTTAAAAAGTCAACCTTGAGTTTAATCGAATTTTATCTAATTCGAGTTTATGAGAAAAATTAATATAATTTTATAAGTTATAAACATAAAAAGGATAAATTCATAAAGTCAATTCAAAAGTTTAACAATAATAGTCTTTGAAAAATTATGTTAGATAAGATTTCAGAAATTTTAGAGTAATTATCTCATTTTATAGTATTCCTTCGTTATTTGCTTATTTGAGTTAGATTTATTTATCATCCTCCGAAGACTTCATGACCAGTATCTTCTTTTGCTGACTTAAATAAAAAAATTGCAAAAGATGTTCTGATGGTCAACTTGTAATAGAAATAAGATTTGAAATCATTTTGATTTTCAAGTATTGAAACCAAAGTAATAATAGTAATGGGTCGTCCCAATCCCAGTAGGACGCAGGCTGAGAAAGCCAACTCATGGTCCTTTCTCGAATAGGAGACAGGATGATCTCATGTCCCATAACACTCTTATTTTGGTATTTTTTTTCAGTAAGCTTTTTTTTAATGACAAATATTTTTTTCTTTCATTAATTTCTAATTCTATACTATTTGGGTGCAAAAATTATATAGTTATTATATTCCATTTAGTTCTATTTATAAGTTATTTTTAGCACGTTTTATTAGAATTAAAAAAATTTTAAATTTCATTAATTTTGTATTAAAATTTAATAAATTTTTATTTTTATCTCTAATAAATATTTTAAATCTCATTACTAGTATTTTTATTCAAAGTATTTAATAAAAATAAAAATTAAAAGTAGGCATTAAAAATTAACAAATATCTTGTAAATAAGATTAATTTTTTTCTTCTCTATCTACCTTATAAATAAAAACATAGGAATATATCATAACTTGTTCTTGTATGGAGAAAAAGTTGAACCGGTTCACTCGTTATTCAAGCTGGTTTCACTGGTCTAGAGACCTGACCAAGAATCGATTAACAAGTGCGTTTTCGGTCGAAGCTGCTGGTCTAGTCAAGTTAAAATCCAAACGAACATATGAATCATGACGTATGCTTTTCATTTCCTGTTTGACTCTGCAAACCAACGAAGCAATTATAAGCTATTTTTTCAGCTGAGAGGCAAGCGAGTCGGGATCGTAGGCCTCGGAAACATAGTCTCAGAAACAGCAAAACGGCTCGAAGCTTTCGGTTGCATCATATCGTACACCTCAAAGAACAAGAAGCCACTTGTGTCATACCCTTTCTATCAAAACATCTTGGAGCTTGCTTCTGCAAGTGACGTGCTTGTTCTCTGCTGTGCACTGAACGAACAAACAAGGCATATGGTGAACAGGGAAGTGATGATGGCCTTGGGAAGAGAAGGAATCATTGTGAACATTGGAAGAGGAAGTCTGATAGATGAGAAAGAATTGGTTAAGAGTTTAGTGAAACGAGAGATTGGAGGAGCTGGTTTGGATGTGTTTGAGAAAGAGCCTCATGTTCCTCGAGAGCTTTTTGAATTGGACAATGTAGTTTTTTCTCCTCATGCTGCTGTGCACACTTCAGAATCTATAATGGGAGTTTCTGAACTAATGGCTGCCAATATGGATGCTTTCTTCTCAAGTAAGCCTCTACTTTCACCAGCCGGGCTGTACTTTCACCAGCCGGGGTAGATTATTTGAATTGATCTACCGATTCGTGAACTTATGTCTTAAGACTTGCATAATGAGAAGAAAAATGAATACATTCATGGATGATTATACTTGAAAATTACACCAAAAGACAATCCTTCACTTGAAGGATTTACATCAAATCCCATAGCTACCTTGAGGTAACGAGGTGGGGATTTATGTTAACCTTCCTAACCTCTAACATAATGTGACACCCTTTATTTAGAATTTAGGATTACCAACTAACCAAGCGATTGACAATAAGAACTCTAGCTAATCCATTCTTCCAGCATTATGGCTGCACATTTTGTTTTTTTTTAATAAATAAAGCATATCTACTAATATTCTGGTTATATATAATGGATTGAGCTATTGATTCATCTTTTTATTGTTGGCTGTAAATTAAATTGTTTAATTAAGCTTTCGTTAATTTTGAAATTTGTTTGTAAACTTAAGTTTAAAGTTTAAACAAACTTAGAACCCATTTGAGTAAATAAAATTTGGCATTTGGGAAGTACTTCCTACTTTTCAAATGTTGAAAGTTGTTTGGAGATTTTTTAATTGAGTAAAATGACTTTTTAAATGTAAATTCAGAAAAGCTTAAGGAGTGAATTTTCAAAAGAAACTTTGGGGTGGATTTAAAACGGCAAATAGAAGTTGGAGCATTTAATGAGATGTATCTACACTACTATAAGAAGGATTTTTATATCAGTTATTTTAAATTTTTTACATTGATTATTAGGGACAAGTAAAAAAGATTGAAGTAAAAAGGTCAACTTTCCATGTCAGTTAAAAAAACTTTCCATATTGATAACAAATAAATCCAACATAGAAAGTCCATTTTTCACATTAGTTTTCCTAAAAGACTAATGTGGAATGTCTTTTTTATTAAAAAAAAATATTTTTGTTTTTCTTATTGGCAATCCAAAAAAATCCCTATTATTCGAAATAAAAAAAATAACTCACAAAAATATTAAAAAAATATTTACAACATCCAAAATACAATAAGTTTTACAATTATTATATATTAATTTTGCATACTCCTCACTTAATAAAGGAGCAAAGTGTTGGTCAATAGCACCAAAATATATACCCAATGCATCTCAAATGTAAACAAATACATTTCATTTCTATTACTTACTCGTGCAAAATTGATAGCTCTTCCCATCCTTTCAAAGTTTCAGTACTCTTCTTTACAAAATCAATATTGATTAGAGCTAGTAATTCAGGTAGACCGAATTTATATGGATTGAGCTCAATTCAGGCTAGGCTAATTCGGATCGAGCTTGAAGTATCTTACCTCTTAAAAAAATTCATATAGTCAAAACCGTTCCTAACTTTTTTTGAGCTAGTTTGAGCTGACTCATTGAGCTTAGCCAAATTGCCAACTCTATATACATATAAAGTGGCAAATTTCAACGATTGAGCTTATTTGGGCCGGACTTATTCAAATTGAGCTTAAAGTATTCTATCGTTTTAAAAAGTCTATATAATTAAACTTGATCCTAACTTTTTTCGTGAGGGTTTGGATTAACCTGTTAGATTTGGCTCGAATTATCGGTTTTAACATTGATCCATGGTTTGCATTGACATGAACCCTTACATACAACTTGAGCAATAATGCGCATATAAAATGGAAATTAGAAGATTTTCACCTCAATGCATAATATAATCCAACATAGAACCTAATCATGATATTCAAAGCAAAATGATAATAACAAAAGCTCTAATGCTTGAAAGAAAAGTCAATCATACATTGACTAAGTAACAGAAACAAGAAATTAAGATCAAATAAATATTTGAATAAGATCATTTAAATAAAAGCAACATATTAATTGTATGACTCATGTAGTACCATTTGCCAACTATGAATTGAACAGGTGTGCTTCAAAGAAGTGTGCTCCAAAGCTCTTCTATTCATATAAAATGGAAATTAGAATAAAGAAATAATCAAGACAAATTTTAAGTTATATACAATGGAGAGACAACTTTAAAAATAGCTATTTAAATTGCCTTTTAATATCGGTTATTAAAAAAATAGTTGTAAAAAAAGGCAATGGCATGAAAGTAATTAAAAGCAAAATATTTAACATTGGTTCAAACAATAACCAACTTTAAAGGAACTTACCACATCGATTTGGATACAGAACAATATGGTAAAATAGTTTTTAAAAAAAAACCGATGTGGTAAAGTAAATGATATATAAATAATTTTTTAAAAAAATCATACTTTTCCATATCAGTTGTTAGTCAAAACTGACGTGGTAAAAAATTTAAAACTTTTCATATCTGTTTCTAACAGAATTGACATGGAAAGTTCTATTGTTTTAAAATAAAAAAAATTTTAAATCAATGTGGAAAGGGTTTTTATCATAGATTATGCTAATAACCAACGTTAAAAACCTTTCATAAAGTTGCTACATGGACAACAGCTTTCCCATTTCATTTTCTTGAACCATTTAGCTACCATTTTCTCTGAAATTTCAAAATGCCTTTCCAGAAATTGAGAGGCTCTTAGGTTTCCGCTGCTAGCCTTCAGCCATTTGTCGCTAGCCTTTTGTCTCCCGTCATCTGCCACTCTCTGTTCTGTCCGCTGTCCCGGTCATTCCCTTTCTTAGGAATAAGTCATTTTTCCGCTTCTTTCTTGTTCCTTCTTCCTCCTTCATTGTTTCTTAATGCTTTTTTGTAACATTTTCTTCTTCTTCCTTCTTATTCCTTTGGACAATGCAGTGGTAGATTTGTTCGTCCCTCTTCCTCTTCCATTGTTGGTGCTGGGGTTTTAGAGTTTCCCATTTTCATCCCTGCTGCAAGTAAATTTGACTGTTTTTATTACTTTTTTATTTATTTCTTAAATTTATAATAGATTATAAGTTGTTTTACATTTCAATTTGTCATCTTTGTTGTTGCATAATTTTTTTTATTTAAATGGTTATGAATAAAAATTTTATTATATGTCCAACGTTGTGATTTTTGCTGCCTAAATTTTGATACTGATAAATTTTTTGATATTTTGGAATATCAAAATTTTATGGGAGACTCTATCAAACAATTTTTTAATTATTACAAATAAAAAAGATAAACATGATTATTGTTGAGTGAATTTTGTTTTGTAATTGTTGAAATTTTGGGATCATATATAATTTGTCAATTTTTTTTAATTTTTTCAAATTGAAAAAAATATAGAAGTAATGGATGTGAAAAGTATTTGGCTAATTGTTCATACTACGTGAAAAGTACTTAGTTAAGGGTTCATACGATGTGAAAAGCTAAGGATACATACTTACATTGGGATAAACCCAACTAAGTGCATTTTGATCCTTGTGTGTCCCATCCATCATATAATTTGACTAAAATAAAAACAATCAAATTCAATTCAAATCTCAAACAATTTTAAAATTTAAGTAAACCCAAGCAAATTTTAAACATATAACAATTCCAAAAAAAACACGTGAATAAAAATTTTGACTAAATTATATACTTTCTTAGCTCAAGCATGTTTGTTCTTCAATTTGTAAATATTAAAAAAAAATTAGCAGAGTTTCCTTTTAAAATGAAATATTCCAAAATTTCAACAATTACAAAATTCTAAGTAGAAACAATTGGAAATATTTATTGAAAACATAATAATTCTAAAACCTTGAATATCAAAATTACACAACAAAGTTTATCACAATAAATTTAATTCTTCCTATAAATTATAAATTTCATTTTATCAAAAAATCAACAAAAAAAATAAAGAATTTAAATTTCTTCCCTTAAGATAGGCAACATATCAGAAAACTAAAAAAAAATTAAAAAAAATGCGAAGACTATAATTCAAATCCAACTACTATGATTTTCATAAGCCAATAAAAAAATAAAAAAATAACAATGAGACTTACTTGGAATCTATCGGAGAAGAAAATACAACTTAAAAAACTCACTTAAAGTAACACCCAACAATGGAGAAGGAAGAAGGAGAAGGCACCTACTAAAAAAAATGCATATGAAGTTGACCTACCTACAATGGAAGAAGAGGGAAGAAGGAAGAAAGCAAATGGAGACCTAAAATCAAAGAACTCACTTGAACCCATACACAAGAGACAGCGACGATGGATTTGCTCTAAAGTTGAAGATTGACAATGACAAAGCTACAAACTTCAAACACTAAAATGCAATGGCCAATGAACATTGACAAAAAGTGAATGGAGCTTTTTGACAATCGAAATGGGCAAAGGTTGAAGCTTTGAAGGCTAGGAAAGTTCGGCAAGAGAACTTGAGAAGAGAGAGAAAGAGGAAAAAAGAAATGGGCTATTCAAATGAGGGTGGAGATGTGGAGGAATTATTTTTAAAGAAAAACAATGTCAGTTTTTCAAAAAACTGACATTATTTTTCTTTTTAACATCGATTCTATGACATTGAAAATTTTTAAATTTCTTTTTTTTTTAATTTTTTTTCTAGCTTTTCATGTCGGTTAGTTGAATAACCGACATGGAAAATACTTTTAACATTAGTTATTCACATAATTGATGTTAAAACTCTTTGCCTTATTTACAAAACTGTCATCGGCCCTTTTTTTTTAACAATAAATTTTTGCCCAAATGATGTTAAAAAGTGACATAAAAAGCATTTTTTTATTAGTGCTAATTTTGTAATTGACCATGCTAGCATTTATTTTTTTTTCCTTTTGCATAACAAGTTTATATACTCCTTGAATTCTCTCTTTCACCTCCACTCCTCTCAACACTGTCGTTTGCTCCTTTGACCTTCCTTCTCTTGTCTCCCTCTCCTTGCCATCGCTACTCCCTCATTTGATGACTATAGATCATACTTCACTCCCTCAATTTCCTTCATTCAATAGTTGCTCTTCTTCTTTCATCACTTTGTTCCTCTTATTCTTATGTTCTTTGTTCCAATTCAATAGATTTAAGAGACCACTCACGTACAAGATCTTGATTCTCTCATGGATCGAGGTCCTATTAGTATTTAGAAGACATTTTAGAGCTTAGAGAAGCAAAAAAATTGTAAGATCTCTCTTACTAATCCACCATTAACTCTAAAATCAAGGTAATCATTGACTAACCCAATTGAATTTCCAAGTTTGTAAAATTTATA